CCAGCCCCCGGCCTTAACAGAGACGCTGACAGTGACTTTGATATCGGCAGCTCAGTCCCGAGCTCACACACACCTGCTTGTCCTGGGCACCGGCCCCACTGAACAGTGGAGGAAACTGAGGCTGGGAACCAGTCTTTCGCCCCATGTCTAGCTGCCTGGCATGATGTGGCCAGGCCCTGGCTGACACTCTGAGTGGCCTCCTGAGGGTGGCAAGGTCCACGCTAGAGGCTCCAGTCTGTGTCTGCTGTTGTGTGAGCGCCATCTGAGGCTCCCTCCCTGGCAGGCTGGCCACCAGGCTCTGGGGCTCGAACACTCACCCTCAGGGTACACCCGACAAGCTCCACTCTCCATCTCCCTGTATACGGTTGCCACTTCTGCAGATTCATGAGGACCCCTGGGAGGGTCCTCAAGGCGGACAGGGACCCTGGAATGTGGCTGCTCCTCGAGGACCCCTCTAGAGATGACCTGGATACTCTGGCCTGGCCTGGTGAGACGGGATAGGGTCCCCTTGGCTGGGAGGAGCAGGGGAGCCCCTGTGTGAAGGAACTGGTTCAAAGTCATCTTAGTGGAAAGTTTGTCTCCTACCACATCCTTCAGCTGTTTACGGGGTGGCGGGGGCCTGGCATCCTGACATGAAAAGAGGCTCACCCCGCACCATCATGGAGGAAGGACCAAAATAGCAGCTAGGGGAGGGGGCCGGAGAAAAAGAACGTCAGGGGCAAGGTACATCCCACAGCCGTGGTGAGTCCTCACCCCGGGCTGCCGTTTCCTGGCCTCACCTGTCTTCAGTGAGAACTAGGAAGCCCAGAAAAGTCTTCGAAGTAGGTCAAGGCCACCTGGGTGGGGCTATGGGGCCTGATTCGGTTCACAAGCTATTGCCCAGGGTAGGAAAGATGCGTGGGAAGACTGGCTGGAGGGGCCAAGTGGACTGGAGTCTCCGGGAGGGTCAGGAGGTAGGGTCTTCTTGGGTAAGGATATGGATGACCCAGAAGAGCCCAGCCATCCTGGCTGGAAGTCGATGCCTCGATGCCGTTTGCCTCCTAGAGGTCACCAGCTTCCGAGAAATCCTCCCCTGACACTGCTCTCCACGGCATCAGCTTTCCTGTGTTGTTTTATACAGCAGAGCTGAGAAAAATGAACAAACATGCCGTGTTCCTCCATAGCCATACAAGCATCCCTCTGGAAACCTGGGCTGTGCATGGAGCTGCAGCTAAGCCCCAACCCAGCCCTACAGTCTCCGTTATTGGGTGCAGCAATCATTTCCCTGGATTCCATCCTTACCCTGACCTCCATTCTGCCTCTAACCTCCACCCCTCCCCTGACCTCCACCCCTCCCCTGACCTCCACCTCTCCCCTGCTGTGGATATCACTCTATATAAATAAAGCACTGATTGGCCAGTGACCAGGCAGGAAGTATAGGCAGACAAAAAGAGAAAAGAATTGAAGAAGGAGGAAGGAAAAGGAGACTGCCTGGAGCCGCCGCCAGGACAAGGAAGATGTAAAGTACTGGTAAGCCACGAGCCACGTGGCAAAGTAAAGATGAATAGAAATGGGCTAAATATAAGAGTAAGAGCTAGACAATGATAGGCCTGAGCTAATGGCCAAGCAGTTTCAATAATGTAAGAGTCTGTGTGTTTATTTTGTAAGTGGGATCCGGGACTGGCGGGACTTGGCAGTGGGACCTGGAGAGAAGTTCTCCAGCAACATTCCCCTGACCTCCATCTCTCTCCTGGCCTCCATCTCTCCCCTGACCTCATCTCTCCTGACTTCATCTCTCCCCTGACCTCATCTCTCCCCTGACCTCCATCCCTCTCCTGACCTCATCCCTCCCCTGACCTCCATCTCTCCCCTGATCTCCATCTCTCCCCTGACCTCCATCTCTCCCCTGACCTCCATCTCTCCCCTGACCTCCATCTCTCTCCTGACCTCATCTCTCTCCTGACCTCATCTCTCCCCTGACCTCCATCTCTCCTCTGACCTCATCTCTCCCCTGACCTCATCTCTCCTCTGACCTCATCCCTCCCCTGACCTCCATCTCTCCCCTGATCTCCATCTCTCCCCTGACCTCCATCTCTCTCCTGACCTCATCTCTCTCCTGACCTCATCTCTCCCCTGACCTCCATCCCTCTCCTGACCTCATCCCTCCCCTGACCTCATCTCTCCCCTGACCTCATCTCTCTCCTGACCTCCATCTCTCCCCTGACCTCATCTCTCTCCTGACCTCATCTCTCCCCTGACCTCCATCTCTCCCCTGATCTCCATCCCTCTCCTGACCTCATCTCTCCCCTGATCTCCATCCCTCTCCTGACCTCATCCCTCCCCTGACCTCATCTCTCCCCTGACCTCCATCTCTCTCCTGACCTCCATCTCTCTCCTGACCTCATCTCTCCCCGATCTCCATCTCTCCCCTGATCTCCATCTCTCCCCTGACCTCATCTCTCCTCTGACCTCATCCCTCTCCTGACCTCCATCTCTCCTCTGACCTCATCTCTCCCCTGACCTCATCTCTCCCCTGACCTCCATCTCTCTCCTGACCTCCATCTCTCCCCTGACCTCATCTCTCCCCTGACCTC